TTCCTTAGATCTAGACTCCGCCGATGACCCCAGTTCACCACGGAGGAAGAGTCGCCGCTTGTCCAGCTGCAGCTCAGAGCCCAACACGCCCAAGAGTGCTGCCAAGTGTGAAGGGGACATCTTTACCTTCGACAGGGCTGGTGGGCTCAGTTTTATGCTTAAACTCAGTCTCATGAACCCATGCATAAAAATATTTATTCATGTGTGTTTTCTTATCTTTTGTGTTTATCAGTTGGAGAGACAGAGCATATTTCGGAGGAGTCGGACCGTGTGCCGCCTTCCTCTCTGCGTAGGATGTTGGACCAGCGGCGTGTGCTCGTTATGCAGCTCTTCCAGGAGCATGGCTTCTTTCCCTCAGGTAACATCAAGTTAACCATCTCTCAGTATAGCACAGCCAGACTTTTGACTTGAATGGACACTTTTCACATTTCCGGGTTTCTCAGCAGAGGAAGTCATCATAGTTGGGTAAACTTCAATAGCAGTGAAGGGAGAGTACCACAAATATATATTTTTTTGCATTCCCATTTGCTCAAATAGCAAAAGAAAACGCCACGTTAGTGTTTTCACGACTTTCGATAAAAGGAAAAAAAATAGAGAGAGTGAGAACGGCAGTCAGAAGAGAGAACGATGTCAAATTAACCGTCACTCCTTTAGCCGCTGCATTAGAAACACTCTCGCATTAGCATTAACTGTTTTTTTGTAATTTGACGCAAAGGTAATATAATACAAAGTATAGTGTTATAAATGTACATACACTTTTAAAAAAAAATGAAAATATAAAACATTTGGAAGGATTTGTGATGGTGGTTGAGGAGATTCTCCCTTTCGAAAAGCGCTATATAAATGTTTATTATTATTTATTTATTATTATTTTTATGATGCTGATGTCCAGTGAAACTCGACAATCACAGTCTTGTACACAGGGTCCATTGAATTTATACTTCTGTTGAGCAAAAAAAGTCAATTTCAAGTAAATGCTGTTTGAATGATCTATTCATCAAAGAATCCTGAAAAAAAAAATCAACATTTCCACAACAATATTAAGAAGCAACTGTTTACAACATTGGTAAGAGTAAGAAATAATTGAGCAGCAAATTAGCATTTAAGAATGATTTCTGAAGGATCATGTGACACTGAAGACTGTAGTAATGGCTGCTAAAATCACAGGAATTAATTAAATGTTAAAATTTATATTTGAAAAATGTAAATTTAAACTATGAAAGTTTGTTTCCACCAGAATTCAGAGTTTGTTTCATACCACAGTTCTGACTTTACATCTCAATTCTGAGAAAAAGCCAGATATAAAGTTAGAATTGTGAGATATAAACTCAAAATCGCGAAATGTGTGATTTAAAAAGTTAATTTTTATAATTAATATACATTTTTTTCAAAACAAAATTGTACAGTTATCAAATTCATCGCTTCAGAGGCTCAATGATATGCAATCAGCCATTGTTGTGAAGGCAAAACTTAACTTGCATATCTTTTTTTCTTTCTGGTACAGCGCAAGCCACAGCTGCCTTCCAAGCTCGCCACTCGGACACGTTTCCCAGCAAGGTGTGCCTGCAGCTGAAGATCCGCGAGGTAAGGCAGAAGATCATGCAGACTGCCGGCAGTTTTGAAACCGTGGGAGGCGTGGCCATTGGAAGCTCTGACTCCGCCTCTACTCCCGGACCATCCAATCCAGCGGCCAGGGAGAATTCCGAAGCGGACGAGAGGGGCAGGGCCACGGAAGAGCCAAAGAAAGACGCGGGCGATCCGCAGGAGTCGAGATGAAGAACGACGGAGGAGACGAGCGGAACGAAAGAATGAAAGACGAATGTAGGGATGGATTCTAGAAATGTGTAAACCCATTTCCACTGGCGATATACAGTGCAGCACTTATGTGGATTTTGCTTCGTTCCTAATCGAACTGATTTCGTTGCCATTGCGTTCACTTCGTTGATGTTCTGTTGTTATGCACAGTTACACACACACACACACGCACACACACTTTATGCAATTACATAATAACATCACTTTCACACATTAACGACTTGCACAAGGAGCGCATGGGGTCGCACTCATTTGCATATGCCACTCGTGTTAGGCTGTCATTGGTCCACCTCTGCATTAGGGCGTGGCTTTACTTTCTGTCGGAATTTTAGAGCCCTTCAATGCTGCACCACAGGCAGCACCAAACCAGCCTGTCTGCACACGCTCAGTAAAGCCCCCTGCGTGGGGCCAGCACAGATTTTTATCGAATGGACTGAATGTTTTAGACGAGAAATTAGACTGTTTGAGGTACCGGTAACTTTCAATCCAAAACGGGGATGGGGTGGGTTGGGGGGTAGGGGGTACAAATGCGCTTGCACTTTCATTTGTAAAGACCGAGAGACGGAGGAAAGCAATAGCCGGGGGAGGAGAAGGGTCTTCGTGCGAATGTTACGCCCCCGTGACGGGGTACATGCATCGGCTGTTACTGTTCTTCAGCACGGGCTGTAAATTCACAGGTTTTTTTTTGGTTTTCGTCCCAGAAGCAACAAACTCGAGACTCGTAATCACGTAGACCAGCGGAGCAGATAACAGAGGCGACCGCCACAATCGCATAAACAACAACAACAACAACACAGCACACTCAAAAGCGAGAGAGGAAAACATTGTCCTAACCTCGAAAAGAAGACGCAAACGAATAGAGACACTACCCCTCTTCGAATCAACGTGTAGTTATGCTTTGTCGTTTTGTTGTTGTGTCGTAACGGTGGAACTGACTGATATCCTATTTTGTATTAGCTTGCGCCTCTCTTCTTCTTCTTCTTCTTCCTCTAGTAATATTTTCAGCATGGACTAATCCAGCTATCTAAGTGTTGGAGCGATTACGTCGAAAAGAAAAAAGACTCTGGTTTAGCCTCTTAGCTGAAGCTCCTCTTCTCTGGCCACTGACTTAGGCTTTTCCCTGTACACTGTATATATATATATATATATATATAACCGTGATGGCTGGGGAGGGGGGCAGAGGGTGGGCACGAGGCTCTCTCTGTGTTCTTTTCCTCGTTTCTTTCTTGCTTTTTTATATTTCAATCAGGTGTTTGCACAATATATGGTCCTAGACCATGGTTTAAATCAGGAAAGTATTTGTTTTTAGATATTTAAAAACTAACCAACGACTTTGTTCCATTGCGTTCGATTCTCCCTTTCCGCATCCCATAAGGAAAGCCCTTGTTTTTTCATCTCCTTAAGACTTTTAACCCAAGTGTTGATGGAAAGCGCCACTTTAAGCGCTGGTCTGGAGTCAGAGTAAGCTTTGTAGTCTGCGACGACCATTTCGATTCGGGATTACGCAAGGGAAAGGTGGCCCGAGTCTGCGACGACGATTTCGTTTCAGGATTACGCAAGGGAAAGCTGACCCGAGACCAGCGCTGGGGCGGCATTTCTCAGGATCTCCTCTTTCTTACTCTGCCTCTTCTTTCATTGGTGCAATAGGACGTGGGTGGGAATTTTTTTTTGAAGTAGACGAGTGACCTGTTAGTGCCATAGATTTTCACTGTAGAAGCTGTAATAAAAATATATATATATACATATATTGAAAGGAGAGTGGGGGGAAAAATCAATGAGTATCGAGAGAGAAATCCAAACTGAACAAACTAAAAAAAAATGTAACCTAGCACTTTCTTGCGTCTGGTTTTGCTGAAAGAGAAGGAGTGATGAGTATATAAATGCTACTCAGTCTTCACTTGAATGTGTGACAATATAAATGTATAAATATACCTATATATTTCTATATGTCCATGATATACAGATGTATGTGTGTGTGCGAGCGTATGTACTTAAACATTACATGCACCCTGACAAATCAAACTTACTCCCGAGCAAATGCTATTCATATTTTCCCTCCTGAAAATGCAGTGGCACTACATTAAAAGACTGTTAGCATATGCCTGAAAACCAGTGGCTACTGACGTGCGCGAGGAGAAATCGGCATATGTAACCATTCAGCTCGATTCTGAACTTGATTATTATCTGCCCTTTCTTTCCCTTCCCCCAGCGACAGACAAATGCTTGCACACACACACCTTATGATTGTGTATCCAATAAACTGTCTTTACTTTGGAGAAGGAGTTTTAGAGTGAGAAAGGTGAGTGTAAACTCATCAACAGGCATGTTGACCATGTGCAATATTTCTAAACGAGATTATTGAAAAAATTAAAGACCTAACACAACGCTTGTTTTTTGTGTAGTTCTTTTCGCATGTGTGATAAAGGTATGTTATAGATGGATGGATGGATAGACAGACAGGTAGATAGTTAGATATACAGAATAAAGCATATTGATATAGTGTTATTTTATAGCCTTTTCTGTTTTGATTCATTATCTTTATCAGACCTGATTTATTATCTTTATCAGTAATAAGGAACAGCTTATGTTATTAGTTTTTTTAAATTTAATGAGTTTAATTTTAATTAATTTTAAATGTTTTGTTTGCTAATTATTATTATTATTATTATTATTATACACAAATAACATTGTGCATGATAAAGTTGAAAAAGCTTTGATTTAGAATGCCATTTTAAAATTTATTATCTTTATCAGACCTCAAGTTTTATTTACAAGTAATAATGAACACATTGTTGTATTAGTGTTATTTAATATGAGTTTTATTTGAATTAATTTTAAATTATTTGTTTTTAGTTCTATTTAATTATTATTAGTATTAATATTATACACAAATATCTAATTGGGCATGATAAATTAGAGGCATATTAAAAAAGCATATGAACGCAGGGTGTTATTTTTATAATCTATTATAATATATTTATCATCTTTATCAGATCTAAAGTTTTATTTACAAGTAGGAACAGCTCTTTTTCTTTTAATATCTATCTATCATCATCTGCTTTTGTTAGTTTTATGCATTTTATTTTAATTATTTTTAAATGATTTTTTGTTATTATTATTATTATTATTAACAACGTACAAAAATAACTAACTGTGCATGATAAAGTTAGAGGCAGTGACTCGGGTGTGTGACACCTGCTCCTGGAGTTGTTTGGAGTCCGGATCAATATAGCGCGTCTACAGTGCGCCGAACTGCATTCCCCATGAGGCTGCGAGTATTCTCAGCGCGTGAGAGAGTGGGTGAACGCTGAGGGTCGCGGCAAAAGGTTTGTCATCTTTTCGTTTTTAACCCAATGTTTCACCCCGCACCAGGCCAAGTCGACGAGGGAACCGCTGATCCTCGCCCCACAGCCTCGGCACACTTTCAGTCAGATATGAGCGGCAGCGGGCGGCCCAGGACGACCTCGTTCGCTGAGCCTCAGGGGGCGTCCGGAGCCGCTGCAGCATCCGCCGGATCCGCCGCTGTCGTGGGGAGCAACGCAGGAAAGCCCGGGGTCTCGCAGGCCTCGGCGGACAGTTCATCTGCTTGCGCAAATTTAAAACTATCTAGTGAGTATATAACCGAAGTTATCTCAGTTACGAGTCGACATATCGTGTATATAACTGAACGGCACACCCATGTTTTCTTGATATTGACAGTTATGTAATCTTCACGAAACTAGCCTAAGCTAACCAAGGAAAATTGTCACAATTTTGAGTTAAATTATAAACCGAGAAATGCTGACCAGCTGTGCGGCGTAGACAGCCTTTTGGGACATTAACAAAAATTCCAATGGCGTTACCATGATACAGTAATGGTAATACCATGGTACTTTTATATAACATGGTACTGATTTCCATATGAATGTGCATTGGTATTTATATGGAACATAAAATAATACAATGGTGCTGTCAGAGAAAACTGTATTACAATGGTCCCATACCCCAAAATAACACAACTTTACCATGGTAAGATGTCAGAAAACATGGCAGTACCCTAGTCAGTTGTGTAGTGCGATAGTAGATAATGCTAAGTAGGCAGCACATTAGGATTTAAGACACTATCATACACTTATAATAACAATAACTGGTTGACAAGCATGCTCTTCCACAGTGCTGTTATTAAAGTGATTGTTTAAATGCTTTACTGGGCAACTTACTAGGTTGTAGGGCATGTTGAATAGGTGGTAACTACCCTTCCTGACACACCCACTGTCATAATGTCCTGTGTGAAGGACACAAACAGGTCAGGCCCGTATTTAGTGATATGTGTGCCATGTTTCATTTAGACTTGCACACTGTTTTTTACCAAGTACACTTGCATGAGGCTTTTCATTTTAAGTTTATGTCCAATATAAATATCATTCTACAGCTTTTATACCGCCTTTTGCAGTGACAGTGATGCTTACGGTAAATTACCTTTTTAAATCATAATATGTGAATATATTTCCTTAACATTATGTTTTGAATCAGTAATACCCTGTATATGCCAAATCGGTAGGAATATATTTATTTTAGAGAGTAGCATTGCTGAATGAATGTACTTGCTGCAAGAACATCATCCCTGACCAAAATTTTCTGGTGCGTATTTGTCCGTTTACACCTAGGGAACAATCAGATCTAATGTCTCAAATGTGTTGTAGGAGACAGTGGGAAGGTGACCACGGTGGTTGCCACCCCAGGCCAGGGCCCGGATCGCCCGCAGGAGGTGTCTTATTGTTTGTCATAATTTACAGAGGTTAATGTGTCTTTATTCCACAGAAGGACGAGGTTTACCTCAATCTGGTGCTGGACTATGTGCCTGAGACCGTCTACAGGGTGTCACGGCACTTCAGCAAAGCTAAAACCATTATTCCCATCTTTTATGTGAAGGTAAAGTTGACTGAACAAACATTTAAATTCTTGAAATTTTAACAAGGCAACACAAATCCAAATTGTCAATTTTTACTCTCTATAAATGTTTTTGGTTTTATTTGTGCACAATTCATCAGTTCGTGCTGTTGATGAACTATATTTGTAATGTATAGATCAATGTGAGTTGCTTCCATGTAGGGCTGCACGATAAATCGCATGCGATATTTAACGCGCATCTTGTCAGAAAGCCGGTTCTTTAATCAGCGGTAAATCTCCATCACCCACGGGCTTTCACATTGAGCAGCATTAACTACAC